GTAGTTCATGATGAACTGATTAAAGGAAGGAGGCAAAGAAATTTGGGATGGCATCCACATTGGTGACATGATCAAGCCCGGATCCAAGAGCCTCAAGTTCATTGATGTATCCCATCATCTTATGACAATGGAAATGAACTTGATGGTTCTTGAACATCTACGCGGTCATGAACTATTTCAAGACTTTCTAACGAGTAGAATGATTCTGCTCCTCATACATCATCCTCAGACTATCCAAGATATCCTTGGACAATTCAATCTGATCAAACTGTTGTTGTATCGGATTATCTAAGGAGGCTATGATGTAGCAGCAAGCAAGGGAATTTTTCTCTTCCCATTCTTGATAGTCCCTCCTACGGGCCTCAGAAACCCTATCACCCGAACGTTCTGGGGTAGGGTTTTTAGCTACCTTGTCCAATTTCTCGGACGTCACGACCAGCATAAGGTTACGATACCAGTCAGTGTAGTTTGGGCCCTTAAGTTTGTTGTCGTCCAACAATTTAGCGAATTGTCCGTTTTCCATTTCTGATAAAGGGCAAAACAAATATTAGTCCACAACCTTATTTGATTCATGTTATCTATATAGATATGGCTTTTAATCAATGTTCCATTTCCATTTATTCATTTATGATATTTCCCTCCTATCTCAGTGACGAAGACTGCGAATTATGTCTCTGGAAATGTGGAAAATCACATAGGGTGCATGGAGCCAACAGTTTCAGCTGCATAATCCCACCACCTTTCTGTGAAGGATCATATTCACTCATCTTATGAGCTTTCCCTTTGGCCTTTGTCAGACAAGATTCATTGCCATTTTAGGTTAAACCTTTTTGTCCAGTGAGTGCTCACCCATCATATTCATGAACGCCAATGTACCGTGAGAGAGTCTTCCATTTTAGGATAGGCCCCTCCCACATCAGTCTATGACGCCCCTATCATCTTATGAAACAATCTAACAGATCCAGCAGCAAATGGATAGCCCAATTTTATGGTGCGTTTCCTCATTACTGAATGACCCATCTTCATGTTAATGATGGAAGGCCTTTAGAGAGTTCATCATATGAATCTCCCTATCATATTTAATTTCAGATCAATCGCCCAAAATTTGGGAACAAATTTCCCAAAAAACGCTAATCTGCGCAAATCGGGTAGAACGCCTTCTACCCATTTGCGCAGACCCAGATCTGGTTAATTTTGGTTCAAGATTTGAATCTGGCTCTAATACCACTGAAGGGATGAGAGATCCATCATATGGATGGCCCGAACCCTACAGGAAGGTTGGGCAAATTTTCAAAAATTTCTCTCTCTCCCATGTGAGAATCACATTCCCTATTTTAGAAAACTGCATTTTCAATGATCAATCTTGAACCTAAACCAGACCTGATCTGAAACCAAAAGGGAGTGGAGGGATATACCTGATACAAAGTAATAATAACCTCCAATGAAGGTGTTCACGCCCAAGGAAAAATCCAAAACCTGCTTCCATCGAAGATGACACGGAGCAGGATGAAGCAGAATCAAGAGGATGGTTCTTTAGCAAGAATCTGATGGAGGGCTAGTGAGCACAACTTCAGATTACCTTTTCTGCCAAAAGGTAATATCAAGAATTCTTCTTGATCGCTCCCACAGGTGGAGATCGAACTAGTGTGGCAGCAAGAGCAGGAGAGAAGGAAACAGTGCAGTCAAATTGTGTTGTCTCTCTCTGGAATTCAGCAGTCAGTCTGATGATTTCTGTTGTTCTGATGGTTCACCCTGCTCTCCTATTTATAGCCTTAAAGAGAGGTTCTCATAATCTCATTATGAATTTCCTAATCCAAATCTTGTATTTGGATCTGAACTCTCTTTAAGAGGTAAGGATAATCCCTTATCTTATTTGCAGATAAAGATCAACCCTCCTAATCTAATTAGAAGTTTCCTGATCCAAATCATTATTTGGATCTGGACTCTCTGAGTGGATAGGGATAATCCCTTATCCTATCTTCTAATCTAAATCCGAGAACCGCCCCCTTTTAATTAATCTCATTAAGCCAGTTCGAATTGGGTTTTAGGCCCATTAAGTCCATCTGCTCACTTAGCCTCCTAACTGTTGCCTAGATGGTTATCCTTGTATGGCATGGAACCCAAACATTGATTTACACATCAGTCACATGGGCTCAGCCTAGCCTTTGTTACAAGGCCTGGCCAAATTCACTATAGGGGATAGTGAACCCCTGAGTCCATCACCATGGGCTCTTAATGGGCCCAACATTTACACTAAATGGTCTCTGGGTCAAGCCACCTTATAAAAACCTAAGGACTATGGGCAGATGCAAGATTAGCCCATCATGTATTACCCTCAATGGTATTACACTTAACCTCTCAACTCATAATGATCAAACACTGCCCGACAAGAGAAGACCTTTCCTTCAGCTGCAAGGTACAGTGCTGCACTCTCTACTCACATGGATTCCGAGAATTAAAATCTTTTGCAAACATTTTGAAACCATAATCTATATAAATATATTTTGCAAAACAAATTTCAACGGTTGAAATYGRCTRCCGRCAKYTTTGGTTTCCATCAGAGAGAGTGCATCCCCGATCATTCACTTTGTCTGACAAAAGGGTTGATCCTGTCACTATGATCACCCACTCAGATGAATTCTTAGACCATTCCAATA